GAAGCCTCTCGAGCCGAGATGTCTGAGATTTATATCATATTTCATCTTCTGAATTAGTGCTATTGGGTTACGATTGCTAGCTCAGCATAAGGTCACTCTCTTGATCAGAAGAAGACTAGTCAGCAAGATACAAGATAGTTGGCACCACCTCTTTTTGCTGTGCTGAATATAACGATTCCAATTGGCAGCATTAAAAACATGACGTATTTAGTTAGATTACACGTGAAATTAAAAACGGGCATCGGAATGACTACGTGTGAAGGAATTGATGGGGTGTGATAAGTAGGCACGAGTAGGTAAAAACATGCCAAATTTGCGTGCGGCAAACCCAGGGCGTATATAACTTTATTTTAATGCCAACCGTTTAAGGAGAAGAGTCGATAAAATTGTGCGGAAACGTTTGCAGGAGGGTGTAATTCGATTAAAGTGCAAATTGGAAGTCACTGAAAAAACTCATTTAGAATAAGTATTGGTGCGTCGATAAACTTGAAATTGGCGGTGCGCGTCATTTTCAGGAAACTGCAAATAGTTTTCGCGGAGAGAGTGTGTGTGTGTGGTGCTTGTGGAGGTATATGCGAATACCGTCTGCGCGTTGCATTGTGGCCGGAACTCTTGGGAAATCAAACATTACTACAGCTACCATCTACCCAAAGAATCTTCTTCATTCGTTTGTCTATTTACTTGTTAGGAGGTTTCTTTCATTTTATACGATAGATGAGTTGGTTTCCTTTATCCGTCATTACTTGTTAATTGAAGTATCCGCCTCATGGATCGCCCTGTATAATAAACCATTTTTTTATATGCACCTGTTACGAAAAGTGCTCGTGCTAAGCTTATTAGCATAATGCAGTGTAGGGAAGATGGGAATCAGCATTTTGATTGTGTCTATGTGTATATTACATGCATTACCTTTATGCACTTTATTTATGATATAAAGAATACCCGCCGATCCCCTTCGGTGCGAGTGCACCCCTTCTCAAACATCAAGGGGCGAAACCTCGAGGGGCTTTATTGATGCTCATTTCTGGCAGCTGTAATCGTTTTTGGATCACTGTTATTCCTATTCATAGGTAAAGGGCTTTTCTAGATTCGATTACGGTATAGATTTACGTGATTCTGGCCCGCATTGCACTTTATTGCGCTTATAATATCGCTCGATGTAATGCCGAGAGTCGCAAATTCGCTGTTAAATAAATCAAACACCTTTAAATCAATGTAAAGTGTCCGCATCCCTCGCGTGATGAAATGAGGGATGCAAATAAGCAATTTCGCAGCAAATCTCGTATTCATACACTTAATCATGGTCCAGTCAACTGATTACCATTGTAAATTACTTCTACGTCATGGTTGCGGTGGTGGAAAATCATTCGTTGGTATTTGCCCGAATGTGCGCACACTTTAACGACAGCAATCGTATGCCTACACCAATTTGTAATACTAATTTATGAGCAGCTAAAAGAAGTACTTTAAGAATCCTATTTGTGTTACACTTAAGTGTAGTTAAAAGTGCCTCTTTTGATTTACATTAGGCGTACCCCTGATCTAATTGAAATGCATTATATTCGAGAATCCTCTTTAAATCGGTTTATCTCGAATTATTCCTATTAGCGTCAGTCACGTTATAGTAGGTACTTAGTTTCAACTTTATTTGAATGTAGGTCTCGATGTAGGTACATATACGATTTAGATATTTACTCACCAGTTGTAATTTTCTTAAATTTGTAAACAATATGGAACCATTAATCCCAATGGTTATGTATCCCGCAGTAAAAATAGTTTGGAAGCCCATTTAGTAAAAATTGTTTATTACATTTGTTTTATGCTGTCCACTAATACAGCACCCTGCTTGATGAATTAAGTATGTATCGTCTGCGTAACTGTGGATGTACAAACCGTTTAAGAACGTGCGTATGTCAGAAACACATAAGCAAAAAAGAAGAGGCCCAAGTGTTGATCCCTGCGGAGCCCCCTTGTCAACAGGTAAAATATTTGAGTCACTGCTCAACGTTCTTACTATCTGCATTCGATTCTGTAAGTAGGTCTCAAACCCATCGGTAGCGGTAGAAGAGTCCAAGATAATGCAACTTAGCCTGAATGAATTTTTGAGGCCGAACCGATGAAGTGAAGATCTAACGGATTACTAAGACGCTGACTGCTAATTAGTTTAGAGCGAAGACGGAGATGGTACGTACTTAATTTCGTTTCTTTTCTTTGTAATAATTATAGTAGGTGCTCTTATTCCTTCTAGGGTTCCTAAATCCACGAAAAAAACTAAAGTGTTTTGACTTAGATAATATATATTTTTTTAAATTAAACTTACGGTACAGACCTTCTCTTTTTTTCAAAACAATCAAACTTCCAATCGGTACAAATTCAATTTTTGTAATACCTAACTAATTTGCAATAGCATGTGCTATCCACACAAGGCGTACGATTACAGGTGGATGTCCGATTTTGATAATAAATTTTGTCTTTAAACATTTAAATTTAAAGTTAAAATAAGAATTTGAATTTCTGATATGTTGGGAAACTTTTTGGTCTCTTGTAGTTTTTTCGTATTTGCGACCGTTATCGCGAAAAAAAAATAAAAATCAATTTTCGGAATGGCCCAGTAGCTTTACTTGTATAATCTCTTGTTTTTATTCGTTTTTACAGTTTGCATTTGAAATTTTTTAGCCTTTATTTTATAGCGGGCGGAGTTTTAGCTAATTAGCTACTCTCTCCACTTAATCCGCTATACAATCACAAATTGTTTCTTGTATTTGAATATGTTTAGAAATTAAAGGTTTAAAGTGTAAAGTGTAAATTATAACACCCTTATAGATCGGTAACGAATCGTATGTGGAGCTATATGTTTATATTCACCGTTAAGCATAAAATAAGCCAAAGAATGAATCCTTTCGTCTTTGGAGCATATTTAGGAACACACTATATAGGATGTTCAACGAGGCGAAGTGGGTCCTTTATTATGAGAAACTAAATGGTTTATTCAATGAGTTTGTTTCAGCGAAAATACTTTAAGGTTCATACAACTTACGGAAATTAACTCACACCTCGGTATGATACATGAGACGCCCTAGTTTTTATTAATTTTTTTAAATCTACGCTAAATTTCGACGAATATGCCTTATCGCTAAGGTCTTCACCTATGTGAAGTTAAAAGCTACCCATATGGCCCCAGGGTCGTATTTAATTTAAATATCTAAATAGGACGAGTCCAGTATTATCATTGAATAAATAATCATACTTATTCAATGGTATTATACATAAATTACAAAGAGATATTCTATTCTCTAACTAAAGGACTAGGACAGGAATCTTTTGTTTGCATACAAGATTCTAATTGCTATCCCTGGTGAGTTCTTTAAGTGATACCCAGTGAGTAATGATTACTCACTGCTGTTGTTACTGTACAGGGTGTTCCATTAGTAAAGGTCACAGGCCAAATCTATAGAACCATTAATTGCACAGCTTGGGAAAAAAGATTTTAACAAAAGTGAACAAGAGAAATCGCTGGAAATTATTTTCAAGTTTCTAGGTTTGTCGGTAGAGGGCGTACAATTCATGTTTAAGTTAAAGTCACTAGATATAGAAAGTACCGCAATCATCCGTCATTTTTGGGCAAATTTGCTGCCAACTTAAAAAAATTGACAAATAAAATCTGGATAGCTGTCATTTTTATAACCTAACTTCATAGTACTGTCATGTTTTATAAAAATATATACAGATATCTCCAAACAGGTGGAACAATCCCTAACATTAAAGTTACTAGAATCTGGTAACTTCCGCCATTTTTGGGCAAAAATCATGCGTTCTCTCTCTAACACACGAGCCCAATGGATTGCGGTACTTTCTATATTTAGTGACTTTAGTTTAAGTAGAGAAATGATTTTTTCCCCTAAAATATACTGAACAAACATGTATAAAAAATACACGCACCGCAATCTTGTATGAATTTTGGATCATTTTGATGCAGCGCATATTGGTCTAGCTCGTAAAATATGAGCGGTGGGAGCGTGTAATCACATTTTACATTGATATAGAGTTTTTTTTAGTAAATGTGATGAGCGGTAGATGGTGCGGTTTGACATCCACATAAACTTTGGAAGTTTTCTTGAAAATTTCAAACGAAACGATAAATTATCAAATACCTAAGATGAAAATTTAGGAAAAAATAATTTTTCTTTTTATCCATGAACCTTCGCTAGCGGTAACCCTAGAAACTTGAAAATAATTTCCAGCGATTTCTCTTGGCCGCAAAATCTTTTTCCCCAAGCTGTGCAATTAACGGTTCCATGGATATGGTCTGTGACCTTTATTAATAGGACGCCCTGTACTGCTGTAAGGTCTTCAAACTTGGTTTTTATAAGAGATACAGGATCGTTTAAATTAGAAAACCAGTGTGTTTTTGTACACTAATTACAATGTGAAAATAGAAAAACAATTGGATGTATCATTCTCAAAATATCGACAAAACCGCATTTTTTTCTAATGGAACACCCTGTATACGATATCCTCACTGGGTGTAGAATTACAATGTCAAGAAAAATCGTCATGTCATATTGTTCTAAAGTCCAAAATAAAGAAGCTGTTGACCATTTTTATTTTATCAACGAGGTTTTGATTCAGATCCAGATCTCCCCATCTACACCACTGAGTTTCTCTAAATTGTATACATCGTATAAAGAGTCTTACTTATATGAAACTCAAATTGTGTAATAGTAGCCTGATTCGTTTTTCATGAAAATAACCCTTGGTACTCATAAGAATTCCGCAGATCAGGCTGATTTAAATTATTTTTTTTGTATTATATTTTGAAAGTTAAAAGATACGGATTTAAATCAAATCAAACAATTCTAACAGTAAATTCATTTTATTTGCACAAGCACAAGGAGTTGATATTTCAGTTGTGAAAAAATTACCGCGCTTGCGCAATGGCGACTGCTTTCTGAACATGTGATTCTGCTTCTCTGCCGAAACCGAAACCCAGGCATACTACGATAGTGGTAGTCATTGGAGATTGCAATTAATTGCGCCACGTGCAATTTGATCAACTAATTATTTGCATTGTCTGACAAAAATGGCAGAAGTAAACAAGAAAAAACGGACAGGTAGTTACTAAAACGATTTAATGATAATAATAATTACACATCTTTGTAGATAAACAGAATTTGCATCGATCCCGACAATTAAATCCCTGCGATATACTCTATTGGAAAAGTCGGGGATTTTCCGAAAGGCCGCATGATTGGCAAGGTAATGTAAATCTTTGATAGACCATAAATTTATACTTTGGTTTGTGCATCATTCGCAATTCTTTCGGTGGTAAGTGCAGGGAACTTTAAAAGCGCTTGATCGATGTAATAATTTTGCTCCATATCAGAATGATGCAATAGTGATTTTCAGCTTTTATTGAGAGTACCTACTTGTTTTTATCTGGTTCGGTAAGTTAACATTATTTTTGTTAATTTCTAATTGTCCACTATATCGGAGTTCTTTTTTTTGCGGATATTTCTTCTACAGGGTGCTCGAATTATGAGTGTTGCACGCGCAAAATAATTATTAAAAATCAAGCACATACAGGGTGTCTAGCAACCAGTTAAGTCTATTTATATACAAAACTAATTGGAATATATTTCTGAAAAGTTGTAAATATGGGTTATTCAATTAGCTTGTTTCTTCCAAAATATTCACATCAATGTCAAATGTAATTAGCAGAGCAATATCCGAATGCTAATGCATTACTTTAATGTGACATTTAATTGTTAGAGCACAGATTAAAGTATATTTAAATCTGTGGTTAGAGTAATCACAATATATATACAGGGTGAAAATTTTGTCTCGAACACTGAATCTTCAAAACAACAGTTTTTTTTAAAAGCAATAAAAGCAACTTTTTATGGTATCCAAAATTATAAAAAAATTGCTACCAATCTAAAAACTTATCTTGAGACATAGAAATAATTTAATAGGTCTTGTTTCCAATCTTAGTGGATAAGTAATCATTTTGAGATCTCTTAATCAAAATACACGTCGTTATCAAATGAATGAAGATAATTTGGAAGTTTCCCCAAACCCAAATTGTTGTCTAAATTTTCCTTACATTTTACCTCAGATATTTTGAGCTTACAACCAATTGCCACAAATGTAAGTAGTTTTGTGGTATATAATTTTTATTGTTATTTTGTTCTTTTCTTCGTCCGTCTTTATTGTCTATGGTTCACAACCATATAGCACAGATATACGTAAAGAACAGATTGCTAACTAAATGGAAATTTAGTAAACGCAGCTGTAATGCAAATAAGTATAACGGGTTGCATACAAGTAGGAAAAATTTGAGGAAATTAAATTTGCTTTATTAAAGACGCAATCCCTAATGCAAATTTCGAAAGTATTCATTTTCTCTGGACAGGGTACAACGAATGAACGAACCCACCGTAGGTATCTTCATTCTTCAATAATCTACAGATTTCTCCTCTTTATGTTGGTGGATTATGAGTACATCAACAAGTGCAGATCACTGACCCCTATTTTTATTTAGGTCAGTGGGGCAGATACGCAGTATTTCTCTGAACTAAGTAATTTTTTAACTATTTATTTGGTGTTGAGTACGCGAATCAAGTGCAAATACTTACAGATTTATTCCTTTGCTATTTAATAGGTAGATAAACAGTTGACGTAGTTGTATGTACTAGGATTGTGTAAAAAATAAGGTTCCTAAATTTTTTCAGGTATAATAAGGCATTTTTTATTTGAACTGCACCTTCGATATTCAAACTACGGTACTGATAACTGTCTTTGTAATATTATTTCCCTAATAATAAAAACTTTCTATGAAAAGGCTTAATTTATTTACACATGAAGATTATTTGTGGTGTATAATTCTTATTGATTTGATATTGAAGAATATGGTCCATTAGCTGCTGAAATAGCAAACCCAGAAATATATCAATCTCAAAAAGCCTTATTCGTCCAAAAGTTAGAAAAGATAAATGCGGAAATAAAAAATGTTATCATCAAGGGCCATTTTAAGGTTTCCACAGATAGCTGCAGGCCACATCACAAAAAAGTTTACATTAAGAAAATTTTAATTTCTTATTATTAACATAAAAAGTATACAAAATAATAATACAATAAAACGAAAAAGTAGAAATAATCATAAAATCATTAGTACCAGCTCAAGAAAATGTACACGTACTTACAGTGTAAGATACAAACAAGTTAAAAAGTAATCGTAAACGATTTACATAAAGCGCATTTCCACTTGCATTCATTTCCTATTTGTAAGATGCAACTTTTGTTAAAATTGTAAATAAATAAGAAAGTCGACACTGCGCATGCGCAAAACCAAGTTTTGAAATTGGCGTTAAATTGGCTTTTATTCCAAGTGGCTATGTATCAAATTTCATTTAAATACTTTTATAATTAAAAAAGTTTGCAATTCGGTTTATAAATGGTCAAGATGCGAAAAGGGCACTGTGAATTTTGAATCGATTCGACTCAACTTTTGGCATTGCGTATTATATGGCTAAAGCTATGCCCATATTGAATTTCATGCAATTCAGTTCATAACTAACGGAAATGTAAAAGCGATCGGACAGTTCTAAACAAAGTTATCTTTCACACGGACAGATAGAGGGACAGACAAACAAAGGAACAGACGGACAGACCAACAGGCAGACGACAGACAGCAATGCAAAATTATAAACGACCTCTAGGATCGTTAATAAACGGCAAAAGTGTAAAATTATGGAACATGTAATAGTATATTAAGATACAAGTGTATAATCAAGTCTTTAAAGCACGCGCAACGAGTTTAAGGGCACGACGCAAAGCGGAGTGCCTTTAACGTTGCAAGTGCTTTAAAGACTAACACGTGTATCTTATAGTATTTTTTATTATACCTGCAGTATAATTTAAAAATAGGAAATACAGTCACGGAATACATGTCAGTAATTTCACGATTGCCATGGAAATGTCACACGTTTGATCGTCTTTGTGAATTAAACGATTTCCGTTGAAAAAGATAATACACCGAATCAGACGTTGGTAGGTGACAGTAAAGCCTATTATAAAGAATATGAAAAGTTGTTTCCAGGAAAGTTACTTACGACGATAATGCTGGCATATATGAAGGAAATGTCAAAGGTATTTAAATCTTCTATACTTTGGTGCATTCATTCAAAACTTTAAAGCAACGCTGCGATTAAAAAGTGGAACAGATTTGGAAACATACCCTAAATTACGCGCGTTTGTGAAAGCTTCAACCAAAGGATAGATACAAAAGCCAAAGAAATGTTCTGCATTTACAGAAAGCGACCTAAGAGGATTTTTTAATCCAGATGACAGTTTCAAAAGTCATACTTGAAGTATCGTTACTTAGCAACTTTAAAGCACGTGTGTTTTAAAACGCATTTGATGTTTAAAACACAGGTAAAAAAAACCTTTTTTTTTTGTTTTTTTTACAATAACTTTTTTTGTAAGCGGTACAGAAAAAATTCCTTCCTTGGTGCAAGACTCGACACCATAACGAACCAAATAGCGAAAAAAGTAGAACAATTAATAGCTCTTAAGATAAAAAACTAGTAGCGTCTCAAAACGAGCGGACGGACGGACAAAGTGGTCACAATAGCGCATTTTTTTTTATTTTTGTGGAAATGCGCTAAAAAGATAAAAACTGCGTATTTTAGATATTTTTACGTAGAATCCAGTGGCGTAGGCAAAAAACAATTTCTGTGATTCGACCCAAACTTGGAATTTGTTTAATGTAACACCCTGTATATTTTAACGTCCATTCTTTGCATTCTTTTTCGTGATTACATTGATGTATCATTCTATATTTTTTATTCAATTATATATTCTATCATATTTCTCAAAATTTTGAAATGGCATATTTCTACCGTCGGCCATTTTTATTGATTGGTATCGAGTGCCTTAGTTACCGTGGATACAATAAACAAAACAAAATCTCCATGAATTCATGGTATACTATTTAAAAACTGTAAAAATAAGGTTTTAATTGATTTTCATTGCTAAAAAAAATATATACGGTTGTGAGTGTGATGCATAAATGTAATCAGGAAAAGGACGTTAAGATATACAGGGTGTCACATATAAAAAAATGCCAACTTTGGGCCTCAGACCCTCAGAAACGGTGGTCCAAACGTTTTTTTGCCTACGCCACTGGATTCTACGTAACAGTGTCTAAAATAAACAGTGTTTACCTATTTTCTATCCTACATGGATAGTAAGATACGATATCATCCCAAAAAGTCAAACCTTTCGTTTTCAACTTTTCACCTTGTATCCCAGAAACAAACGTAGCTAGATTGATTTTGTTTGTAGTTTCACAAAAAAGTGGCACAGGGTCGCGAAAAATCGCAAACTTAACTATCTTTAAAAACAGCTGATTCTCAGCCAAAATAGAACATGCGGTACAATTCAATTACATATTTCAATTTTATAATCTGCGAACATCCTGACGGGTCGCAGATTGTAGAACGGTGGGCCACAAGCGACATGGGGGTCGCGTGTTTGACATGCCTGATTTACATCTTCAAAATATACCGATTATGGAATTACCCATGAACCTGTGGTTAAAATATCTTTTGCGGAACAATTAGGTTGTAAAAAGCTTATAAGAATTGGGTCAAATTCAATGACGCCGTAGGGTCACCCGAGACGCTCTGCCGCTTTTTAGCGCATTTTCGAACGAAGTTGGGTGCGCTATTGCAGCCGCTTTCTCTGTTAATTTTTTTATTTATTAATATATTTTGTTGAAATTTTAATCACAGATACTTGTAGTAAAGGCATATATCGCATATAGTAAAAATCAGATGTGCGCATGCGCAGACTGCGCAATGCCAACTTTCTTATTTATGGAGATATTTCTTTGAAATTTTAACCAAAGATGCTTATAGTAAAAGCGAACGTATTGCATATTGTAAATATCAGATTAATAAGCGCATGCGCAGGACGCGCAATATCAACTGCGCAGTAAGTGTCAACTTCCTTATTTATGAAGATATTTCTTTAAAATTTTAACCATATATGCCTCTAGTAAACATAGCGCACATAGGTATGGCCTTTGGGGTAGTATTGATCAATTTATGGAAAATGCACTGAAGTTACTCGCCTTAGGGCGAAAACGTTTCTACTTGTTTAGATCTGCTTTAGGGGTTTATTTGCCAGAAATTGTGGATCCTCGAAACACACCAGAGCCTGTAGCCAGGAATGTATTATTGAAACGGTTCAGACAATCCGAGATTAATCAGGCCCTAAATAAAACTACTTTTCGGGGTGTTACATCTGTGGGACTGAATAACTTATTGCTAATTTTTACAGTTTCAACGAACATATAATATTTTTGAATAATCAAAACTTAGTTCCTGTAGGACTCCTAAGATTTGTTATCAAAAAAGCATTCACAAATATCTAATGTGTTTTATTAAAATTTAAAACTTTTGTAAAAACCCTCGTACTTTCAACCAACTTGATTTCTATATCATTTCGTTCAAACGTTCTCTAAAAAACGCAAACTTTATAAGCTCGTTTTGGGTATTGTCATTGACTAATATTGGGGGGTGGGGGGGGGGGGTATTAGTCAATGGCATTGTTTAACGTATTTAAACAATTTTTGGGTAAAATAAATAACAGTTTAATATTTAAACTAAATTATCGCTAATGGCTGATTTTTTGTGTAAAGTATCCTGATACATAGTGAAGTAGAAGAAGTCATGTCTGCCAGTGAGACCCCGTGGATTAATGTTGAGAGGGGCGCTCAAATATGTCAAATTTTAATAAAACTGCCGATCTTCCGACTATATTTACCTCTGACGCATTTATTTTGAATCTGACGCAAAAAATGAATGAGACTTTTTTGTACAACTCATCAAGGCACTTCTTTTTTTTATATGTAACATTTTTTGCTATGAAGCTTACTTTTTGAGAAAAGTGCAAATTTAGAGAAATTATGAAATGAAAGAGTTTAACAGTTCAATTTAAAATTGCTCAAAATCTTAGAAACTCACAAATAAATTGTTATGAACTCTCTTGTAGAGTTTTTTGTACCACCTTAGCCAGTGTATGCGAAAAAATTACAAAAATTGTCTTTACGCCGTTATGGCTCTTTTAAACTTTTAACACCCTCAAAAACCCTGAAGATGGTAACGGACCGAAACCAAAATAGGTCGTGTGCCATTCCCTATACAATCCTATAAACATTCCAAATTTCATAAAAATCGGTTCAGGCGTTTTTGAGTTATCGTGTTCACAAGAAACGAACCACATGCATACAGTTTAAAAGGGCCATAACAAAAACTCTTTTGTAATCATTTTTCACACACTGACAAATGTGGCATACAAAACTCCACATAAAAATCAATTACATCTTTTTGTGAGTTTCTTAGTTTTTGAGAAATTTTAAATTGATAAGAAACTATTGATTTTATAATTTTTTTTAATTTGCACTTTTCTCGAAAAGTAAGCATCATAGCGAAAAATGTTAAATACAAAAAAGATGTACCTTGATAAGCTGTACATTTCATTGATTTTTTGCGTCCGATTCAAAATAAAGGCGCCAGAGGTAAATATAGTCAGAAAATCGGCAGTTTTATTAAAATTTGACTTATTTGACCACCCCTCCCAACCCCAACCTTAAGGCACGGGATTTCGCTGGCAGACATGACTTTTTCTACTTCATTATGTATCAGCATACTTGACAAAAAATCAGCCATGTAGGGATAAGTCACTTTCTTCCGTAGCCAGCTCTCCGTCTAACACTCGAAATGCTATAGCAAAAGTGAGTTGTAGTAAATAAGAATTTATAAATAGTTAAATATCATATCCGTCGTAACGAATATTGGCGTAGATAAGATAAGCGCAACCGAGTCGACTTGATCATGCATCATATCATGCATTCCTTCTACAGAAAAAGATAAAACATTACTTTTACAGTGACACCTACCGTTAAATGCATAGAAAATGTTTCAACCGTCTTCAAGAACCAAGTACTAAACTGTTTGTGGTAATAACATTCCTAAATAGAGGGCTCTTTTAAGGAGATAGGTGATTTAAATTAAGTGGATAAATCTGTTAAGCAATTTATGCATTATGGTTAGCAATCTGTTCTTTACGTATATCTGTGCATATAGCATTACGATCCAGACAAACCACTTCCTCAATTCTATATCCATCTTTGTTTCACACACCTTTTTGTATTCTCATTTTGCCATTCCAGTTCTAATCTTTATATCTTCACAGTTACTTCAGCTGCGGATTGTCTCCGTACCTAGGTATCGATCCACTTGTTCCAGTTTTTTCCTCTTACGCAAACGATTCTTCATCTATACTCATTAGTTTCCTCTTTTTGGTGCTTATCCTCATGCCGTATTTTTTTCAAATTAGACGTTCAAAATTGCTAGCAACGATACCTTTATCCTTTAATGGAAAACACGCAAAAATAATTGCTTTGGCGTTGAAATTTAATACATTACTCAAAAGTGACATGGTTTTCAATGCCAATGTGATAATGTTTTTAATGTTTCTTAATACAATTATTTTTGCGTGTTTTCGATTAAAGATCAAGATATTGTTTCTAGTATTTATGCACGTGTTTTTTTAGGGTACGAGATAAAGCGCATTTTTTATAACCGAAACAGCTTAGTAAATGGTTGGGTTAAAAGATATTAGCATGCTCGAGGTTTAATTTTTTGGTAGATGATTAAACGCCACCTGGCATATATTCAAAATCTACGGTATATAATGCAAGAAGAATGAAGTCTTTAGGGAAATTCTCCAAAATATTGCATTTTCTCTTTATAGGTATCTACCCATAATTTTGTTTACATCGCCAGTAGATGTGTCTCGTCTAGACGATCTTTCCGCCCTTTGAGAGTACCCTCTTCCGACATTTCGTTTTTAAGATATTCACTTCGACTGCACCACTAGATATGTCTGTCGTCCAGATGATTCATTTTGCCTTCGACAAACTGTTTTCGAGATATTCGCTTTTAAAGTTTTGACATCACCAATAGATATCGTGTCTTCCAGACGTCCCAGTCGCCATTTTTAAGTACCCTCTTCGGACAATTTGTTCTTAAGATATAAGTAATTATATGCGCATCGATAAGGAGTCAAGAAGGAGGGCTATGGTTGGTAGAAATTAATTCATTTCGTTGAGACCTTTCATTAGAGTACCATGAAGGATATAACAACCCCCCTCCTGAGAAAGAAGGGCAGTAGTTGGCAGAAAACAGTTAATTTTTGGTAGGTAATACACATCCGTATTTTATTAGCAAAGTTGAAAATCATCGATCTCACAAGTAATATAACTCAAAATAGACTTATAGTCTACAGCCTGCACTCTAAACTATAGCAGAAAGCTTTTAGTGAAATTTGAAGTCTATACCCTATTGTAAATCCAGGACTCTAGGACAATTCCTCTAAAAATAGGATGGACGGACAAAACGCAAACGATAACATGCATTTATTTTTAATTCTTAAAAAATGCGCTAAAAATATGGAGGGTGCTCATTAAAAAAATGGGGTTATTTTCTATCCGACCGGAAGTGAAGAAAAATGGATACATTATGATCAATAAATTCTATTATTAGTAGTTTTTTATTTATTATTATTAGTCTTATGCACATTATCTTTTTAACCGACATAACTGTTATTTTCAGCTAGAGTTTATGGAGTGAATAAATACCACCATCATGAAGAATATCATTTTCAAGGTAATGGGTGGAAAATGACTCGTTGGGACAATCGAAGCTGCGTGCCAGGTAGTAAGTTATGGAATGTACTGGCACTGTTTTTATGTTCTTGTACTGGATCAGAAAATGTAAATTACAATTTTTGAAGGACCAGTTAAAGAATATAGATACTGTCTGGTGTGGCTACTTCAATTCATTACCATTTCACTTTTCAGCTCTCTCCAGGGCTATCACTCAACATTATCGTCATGGAGGCGTGTTCGTTTACAATGTTTACATATATAATTTTCGTAATTAGTAGTCTTGCTTTTGTGTCACAGGATGCAGTCAGGGCCATAAGTAATGCCGTTCGAATTTCTCAAGTATGAGACAAGCAATAATGATGTGAGCTTATTTAGTATCTAACTTGGACTCTTCCCCATTTAGAAATTAGGTAACCTGAAATGTTACTTGGGGTCTGATATCTTGGTTATCGGGTACTATAGTGGAATATTGCCTTTGAGCCTGACTACATACTTGTGCACCTATGCTGTAATAAGTAAAAAAATGTATTTGGCATTAAAGAATATATGACCTTGAAGGAATATGACTGGTACCACATGAGTATATCCTACGTTTAAAAGCCAATGCTCAAATGAGCAACTATCAAAATATAGGGATCGATGGATGAGAAGCAAACTTTGTATTGTTTTCATTTTTGAAGTGAAAAACAGTTTCGTTTTAGAAATGCTGAAGATTATCAGCTTGTACTCCTTGTTGATGTGACGACAAAACTTTGAATTTCTTTAGAAACTAGAACCGGCAAAACTGGGAGCTTGTTCTTGTTTCACTTTGATCTGATAAAACGAAACTTGAAATGCAACAATAAAGAAAATTTGCAACGTGCGCATCTGACATTGGTGAGTTAACGTATGGCGCCTCTCTGAAACAGGAGATCGAGGGTTCGAATCCCTCCGGGGCCTCGATTTGATTCCACCAAATCGTCCTTTTTCTGTACGTCTGTCTTCCAGCTTATTGATTAATGTGTTCGCTTTGACCTTTTCAATCGGAAATATTCTGCACCGCGATATTGTTAACTGTACATTTCCATGTTTTCTTCTTTTTTGTAATGAGTTTTTGATCAAATTAGTCAAATAGTTATTCTGGAATCCGCAAACAGTGAACTTGACGTATAGAATGTTTTAGTCATTCTTGAAAACCAAAGTTAGATAATGTATCACCAGTACATTGACAACATTTTTGTCTCATTCAAAAGGATACAATCTCAAAGATCTGTATATAACGTATGTATGTGCAACAGGTAATAAGTTTGTCAAAAAATTGTGAGATACTAGGTATTTCCAAATACATTGAAGCTATGTCCCCAAACATTTTTTGTATTTAATCTTTCTTCTTAAAAAACTCAACCTTGCGGAGTAGATATTTTGCAACTAATTTTCTGTAATATTAAAATTTTGTTGCTAATCGGCAAGCTCAGTTCAAGTAAAACCCAAAACGGAACTTGTGGAGTTATTAAAACCTCATACGGACCTCAAATAAATAAATACTTGACCTGAAAAAGAAACTCAATCTACTAACGCTAAGTTTTACATATAAATGGTATGCATTCAGACCCCCTATAATTTTATATGATATTCAGAATTGAAATTCTACCCCATTGACAGATACTTGTCTTCTAGACAGCCCATTTTCACTTTGAGAGTACCATCTTTCGACACTCCGGTTATTAACACGCCGCCCACTTTTAAACGGAGTTATCGTTCATACGAATGGACGGACAGACAAAAATAAAGGTTCTTAAGTTTTCATTAAAAATCCTAAGTAGGTTTTCATAAAGATTCTGCTGTAGGTCCTGAAGTAGGTTTTTATTAATCCTAATCATTTATTTATTTATTATCACCTCTTGTTCTGGGCCCTCAACAGGCTTGCGCCCAATTACAGAGTGACCCGCATAATGCTTTTGTGGTGCCTCTGCAGAAGGTCTTAAGTTTGTCTATACTACTTCGGTATTTACCTTACGAATTAGGAAAACTGCAGGAAAACCTAATTCGGAGTAGCCAGTAGAATGCTCGGAACTGGTCTAAGATAATTTTCATCTCTGCCACAGATGAAAAATTCACCTCAACCCAGGTTCGAACACCCCACCTCCGGATTTATAGCCAAATGCTCTACCACTGAGCCATACAGCCGGTTCATCATATTTTAACAGTTCCAATATGAACTTCTTGGATGCCTCTGATATGAAGGTTTCTAATAATTTCATAAAGATAGGTTTTTATCTTGAAAATGAATATAATTTTTCAGATGTCAATTGCATTTGCGCACGTGAAACTTTGGTTTGTCTCATAATAAGTTCCCTATCTATGAGAAAATAGTATATTGTAGCGAATTTTCTAGAACGTTATCAAGACGTCGTCAAGTAGATACAGTGCTAGGTATTTTATAGAGGAAAATTTTAGACTTTTTTACTGAGAAAATAATGCGGATGAATCACGTAGTGAAGTGAACCTATTGAAAAGATACACGCTGTAGACATGTGGTATTGCGTTACTTAAATTTGCACTAGCAGATATGTCTGTTCGGAAAAACCGTGATGGGTCGTGCATAAATGTAAAGAATACGCTAAATGTAAACAGAGTGGTCCAAATTGGACACACTCTTATGGAAACACTTTTTATTTTAAGAGCTATACAGTTATACACAATGGACCTAGGCGCCTGGGGCTCAATTTTAAAAAGAAAATCACTAACACAAACGGAATTCAGCTGTTTCAAATCGTTTGGCCGCTATTTGATACATAGGCACTTGGAATAAAAGCAAATGTAGCACCATGTGTGTAGGTGCAGTGCCAACTTTCTTATTTATGAAAGCAATTAAATGAAATTTCATACATATACACGTTAAATAAAAGCAAAACTAACATCAATCAGGTTTAAAATTTGGCTTTGCACATGCTATAGCCATACCCAGGAGCTCGTTTTCTATATTTGTTTAGTTTATTTACATATAAGTGAGAACAAGAACAAAAAGTATTTTTTTAAATAGAAATAGTACTTAACATTGAAAACTGTATTAATTCTTACAAATTATTAAAAATATAACGTGTGCCGATTTTAAACAAATTCTTACCTATTCAAAAAATAATTGTACAGGGTTGTCGAACATACACTACCCAAGACAAGGTTTGCCAGGCAAAAAAGGAGATATTTTAACAATATTTAAAAAAATCGTCATATTTACATTTTTGAAATCAGAAAAAAATGCTTTATCAAATGACACAAAACCTAAAAATGACTTTCATGAGAAAAAACAATGTTGATTATGGTTAACCGGAGACGAAACGTCAGACTTAAAATTTAAAACTAGCATCTTTGGAGGAAAAAAAGTGGTAATAATGTGTCATTTATTTTGAAATATTTTTTTAAATAACTTCGGTAAAAAATAAAAAAGATTTTGCAAAGTTTCGTTTTTTTACCGAATATCTCCAAAAGTAGTCGGAATTATTTAGTTGTCAAAACCGCATTTTGTTAAGCATCAAAATACGCAACTTTGCCAAATTTAAACTACCCACCTATCTCTTACAGTTTCCGACATCCCCTGTACTTATATTCTGGAGTTTTGAAAAAATCATAAAATTTTCTAAATTACGATGTACCTACCTATCACTTGTTATATTTATATTAAATATTATTTGCAATATTACATTTTTTTCATTAAAAGACTTTTATTGCAGACATCTAGGTTTCCATGACGAACGAAAGATGGTAGGATTGTTTAAAACGACAATTTCTTAGTATTTATTAATAAACTGTGTCAAAAAGGTTAAATAAAAAGGCAAGTTTATGTCCGACTTGGAGATGTTTCATATTTTATTATCTTGATCATTGTACATGGGCTATATTGCACTTTTAACAATAAATGAAGGAAATATGCAAAACGGGGCAGGATAGAAATATACCTACTTATAAAAATGCGTAGGTACCTAGTAGGTAATAGGTAGGTAACCTACCTATTGTTGGTAATCATTTGCAATAATATCGAAATGCAAATTGACTATAGAGGAGCCTTTAGAGGAGTGCTATAAATTCACCAATAAGGTTCTTTTTCCATCCAGATTAAATATGGGATTAAACCATTCAAAAAGAAATCCCTTGATCTCAATATAATAATAAATAATGTTTGAGTTAAATGAAAGATCGTGCCGAAATTTAATTTCTTCTTGAATTTAATTTCGCCCTGTGACCATTACACACACTGAGGTAAATATTTGTTTGTTTGTATGTAAGTAATGATCCTCAAATAAAATCTTATTTACTATTAGATATTATTACTTCCATATGATATGCTTGATTGGCTTTTTGTTTGTTTTAAACTTTAAACATTTTTCATTGTCTTAACTGGCGTTTTAAATGGTCAAAATTCACAAAGTTTGGTCTATGTTGGGACCCCCTCAACGGTACAATTGGAAGCGCTCGAGCGACGCTAAAGCCCCGTTAATGCTACGCCCCTGAGTCCCCGAGCGTCGGCTACGTATTCGAACGCTCGATAAGTAAATCCCTCAAACTGCACTCAAAACAGCAAATCCATATACGGCGTGCGGTACTGGTATTATGATATTTGACATTGTGCAGAAGTAAGCGTTCAACGTTCGACACTACTTTGTTTTTGTAACTTTTAGTTTTCTGTGTTTTTGATTCTGTGTTTGCTTCCGGGTCTCCGAAGAAATGTCTAACAATCAGGGTAAACATGTCAGATTTATTCGTATATTTTAAAAAGTTTCGTTTGTTTTGTTTACTGTAATCGCCATGTTGAATTTGCGATCCCGACAGCTAACCATATGCAGCTAACCCGTGCGACATACTTTACTGGAAAAATCGGGGAATTCCGGAAAGATCACATTTGGGAACGTAAAAACTTTTCATTGGATTCTATTTACTCATTTTCATAAGATTCGTTACAAAACAGGGCGGTAATCATTGCATTTGAAATTTGATCGGTCTGAGTGGGGATTACATTATTACAACGTTGGAAAATTGACATACCAGGGAGGATCAATGAAAACTTGACGCACAGATTTTGGGATTTAAATTTAAAATTTGAGTAATTGGGAAAGTTTAGTTTTTTATCGTGCTTACGTAATTTTGCTAGGTATCAGGATAGGACGATGTACATTTTGATAACAAATTGCACATATTAAGTGCAATTAATTAGCTAAATGTAGGAGACCATTCCAGATTGGCCCTTTCTGAATTTGTGAAAAATCTTTTGCGGTTCGTTTCAGCAGAAATATTTTGAGTTTTATACGACTTACGGAAATTGACTCACACTTGTGTTTTAGGTAAATGACATACCCTAGTTGTTATTAATCTTTTTAAATTTGCGCAAAATTTGAACTAAATTTGAATATGTCTTATCCCCAAGGTTTTCACCTGTGTGAAGTTGGCTGTAATCCAGCAGGAAGCGGAAGAAGTAGTAGTTACATGTCAATGGATCTTTTCCATGTGTAAAATTTTGTTAACGTGTCAATGTTTCAATGTAATTACAGAATTAGCGTACGAAATAGATAATGAAAGCGAAGAGTATGCAGATGACGAGTATGAAGATGAAGAGTATGAAGAAGAAGAGTATGAAGAGGAAGAGTATGAAGAGGAAGAGTATGAAGAGGAAGAATATGAAGAGGAAGAGTATGAAGATGAAGAGTATGAAGATGAGGAAGATTACGAAGATGAGTACGATGACGAAGATGAGTACGATGACGAAGATGATGAAGATTGCGAAAATGAGGAAGATTGCGAAGATGAGGAATACTGTGACGATGATGAAGATTACGAAGATAATTATGACGCCGAGCATGCGCAGTACAGCAACGAGAGGAATCCCAATAATGACGCTTATTGGAGGGCACGGGGATGGAAAAAACGACCAGAAAATTGGAAAGGTAAGTGGATTTCTATGGATACATGCCATGTATAATAAGTTCTGATAAGCTGGTCTAGATTATCTCACGGAGGTAATTTGTTATCCACTACTTCATTTAAAACGATTGTTTTAATAAATCTATTATAGTTTATTCTATATAGATTTGTACTTCAGGAAAACGCCGATTATAGGCAGTCGCTGTTTCGCGTACTTACACTTCCTGATATAGAGGTGCTCTGTACATGATCCTTAAGGAATTAAAGAAACCGTTTTAGTCCTCTGAATACAAAAAATAAACTATTGTCGTGTAAGATGGTTTTTCTTATTCTCGTTCCTTTTGTTTCTTTTTAGATTACATATATGCTCCTGAAAAGAAGTCCTTAACCTCGAACAGCACAGCACCTACTAGTCAACACAGTATGGTTTCTACTAGCGCAGTGCCGACCTGTCAGCAGAGGGCGTCAACCTCTGCGAGCTCGCCCATTGACCATCGAGAAGCTTCTGGTAACTCAGCACAACCTGCTCAAGGAACAAAGCTAACTGCTGTTGTACACGAGAACATATACTCAGTAGATTAAGTCGTACTTGTTTCTGTTGTCAAGTACTGTACATTTTGCTTACTTACGTGTTGTGTTTTTGATAATAACATGGAAGCATTTTTATGTTTATTAATATCTCTTTACAGTTTATAATTTTTTCAAAAGACTTGTGGGCATGGTAGGTACGTGGAACAATATAACATTGTGAGCCACAAAAGTAGGTAGATATTTTATTTTTATAGCTTATACATTAGGAATACCGTGTGTACAAGGGATAACGCACCATAGGGAAACAGAATTAATGTATATTTTTTCGCAAAGGATCTACGAGGCCTTTAATATGTATTTGAAGTTAGCGTTCAACGTACGTTATAGCACTTGCTTGATGCTAGAAAGAGATTGGAGTAGTACGTTGTACGCTAATTTAGTAATTTCAGAGACCTCGTAAATCCTTCGCGCAGAAATACTTTGTCGTTTCCCTATGGTGCGTTCTACCTGGGATAACCTTCTCTTATATATATGGGGATAACACGGTATATGACGCATGCCAAATATGCGATTTTAAAATTAAGAGGACAAAAATGGTCTGAAGTTGCACGTGTGATTGATCATAGGCACATTCATATAGTTTACAATTTTGACACTCAATTTCTATATACAGGGTGTCCACAGAGTTCTGAATTGCAAAAAGATTATTGAGCAATGTGTTAACGTGCCCCAGCCCGTCTTCGTGTGGGCATCTACATACAAATTTTAGAATTCTTACAAATATAAGCAACTCTGATGCTCTATATCGTTTTTAATAAACATTTCACAAAAAAGTAGTGTATATCAAAGTTGTGTAGAATTTTATAGTCTAGAATTCCTGATGACAATATTTTTTTGTAAAATGAACCTATAAAAAGATATGATTGATAAACTAAAAAACCAACCAAATTTCTTTGGTTTTAAGGGTGGTACGGGGGAAGCACAAGGGGAGGGAGGTCGAAAACTTGGATTCTTATCCACCAGATATTCTTTCATGACATGCAAAAAAAATTGGAACTACTTCTCGTTTTGCAGGAAATGGTCCATTTTCAGTCTCTATTTCCTGGACTAATAAGTAGTCGAGATAAAATATATACTTACACAATTGAAAGTTACTCGTTGAATCGTGTTATAAGTAAATATTCTTCATTATTGAAACGTATTTACCTACACGTCAAAAGCCATCAGTCATCACCGGAGAATGTCTTCATCATCCCTAAGATCTAGAGATAATTAAAAATAAAATGCTGACAGCCATGTTTATAATAAACATATTTACTTACCTCTGTTTTTTGCAGAGTTCTTTGCACATAGAACACTGCAGGGTGCAGGGAGGGCCATTTCGCAACCATGAGCACCTCGTAATAGTCTCACATGTTGACTTACAGCCGCATTTTCCTAGGACTGGGAGCTCTTTCCATGTTTGTGCCAGGGACCCCGACCGAAACCTGTATTTTTTTTTGGACCGAAACCGTTATTCCTTCAGAAATCTAAATTTATGGAGAACCGGAACCCTTATTACTTTTTACGGTTCTTAACAGGTTGTTGGAAGTTGAATGCCGCGCTTGCCAACACGTCCTGAAAATTGATAAAATATCACTCTATGATTGGCATCGGTGGATTATAAATTTTTAATAAGGTGTCGAAATTGAAGTCAGTACGGGTGGCAGTGGCGGTAATTTAGCCACTACTGTAAATGTAAAAAATAGAAGAGGCGAGGTTTTAGAATAAAAAACGATACTCCATGCATAATTTTTTATATACGTTTTTGTGTATTTTTTCTGTTTTTTATTAATAAATTAAGTTTAAATACATATTTTATTTCCCTCTTCCTCCTTTATTCCCCCTGTTGTAAATTAGCTACACTGACGATATACCTACGTCACGTTTTTTTATTCATGACGTTTTACTTCTTTTTCACATCTATTAATTAACAAATCTGCACGTTGTTATAATAAATTTTTGGAAGGCTACAATCGAAAGGAAATGGACTGAACCAAACCGATATTTTTTTTAGAACCGGAACGGTATAAATATTTTCGCTTAAATATAAACAAAACCGGAACCGATATTTCATTTGGATCCGGGCCTTTGGTTTGTGCCTCTTTAGTCCAGTTTGGTTCCCAGTAGCCCATCTTGCCTTGTGGGCAACTCCTCGAGTTGAGGGATTTGGAGGGTATTCAGTGGGGTACCAACGTTACATGACTTAGCCTATGTTTCAAGGCTACACAGAACGGCAGTAAATTCTTCCGAGGCTTTCATTATTTCTTTTGCTACTATCCTCTTTGCGGATTTGACAGTTCAAGTAAAGTTATGGTGTCACGGACGGGCGTTTCATCCAAGTCATATATGCCCTCTTCTTACCAACAGAATTGAAAGAGAGCGTAGTGTGAAGACAGTAGTGAAGTCAGTATTACGCTGAAACATAAAACGAGTGGCGAATTTTGCAAGCTGTTAGTTTCTGTTGCCATCTAAACTGTTGGAAGTGTCATTAACTGTTAATATCAAATATTTATTTCTGTTTGCAGTGCTGGATATTTCTACTTTACAATAATTTGATGCCGTTTTATATTTTTCCTGTGTGTGCTTATCTTCAAACACAGCGCCATCTACTACCTTCTTATAATGAATGCAGTATAGTTATATGAACCGAATTCTATGAAATTTTATATGTAGGCACCTTGAATAAACGTAAAACTAATACCCAACGGAAAAATTTATTTTGCGCATGCGCAATCTCATTTTTTTAATTTGTTAAGATATTTCAATATTTGGTATATAGGGCCCTCAAATAAAAGTAAAAGTAAGGATGTCCGTTTCTGATTTAGTAACACGTTGAGCGAGGTGGGACGGCGCTACCGCAGAAACCGAAATTGTGCCCTCCGGGAATGGGACATGTGGGCGAGGTAAGGCTGCGCAGCCGCCGAAACCAAACTTATGTTTCACCCAGAAGCGGGACATTGACTGAAAAGCGGTACGAAATTCGCCAACTCTGCTAATTTATTACGTGTTGCATTCTCGGTATACAGGATGGTTCAAATTCGTAGTTCACCATTGAGATCTCCGTAACAGTGTAGGTTAAATGGGCTCAAAGTTTCAAATCATTTAAAAATGATGAAATGATTTTTGGAAAAGCTTGTATTAGTAAATAGTTATGTAGGTACATATACTGCGGTTCAAAAGTTTCAATTATCGGGGGCGGAGTGGTGTGGTACGGGTGAATAACCGGCTTGATTAGATTTTCCAAAGTTCAAAGGTAAATAATGATTGGATTTGAAACAAAGAGTAGGTATAACCGTTGAGTGAAATAACATTGACGAATATAATTAGTTCATCTTAAAGGTTACTCTTTGTTTGAGATCATTGGCTTACGTCCACGCCGCCAACGCAATGCACTTCTAAATGCACTTTTATGCACACATCATAATTACCTTAATGTTTAAAAACTCAGAACCCAAACTGGCCTGTAGTTTTAGTCTAGATCTAGACAGTAAACATGCATTACACGCAAAATACGATTTGTGAACAAGATTAGGATGTTGAGATGCTGGATACTGCCAAAAGAGCTATCGATGTCGTTGTGGCCGTCTGGTCTCGTTCTACCCCTTGCGATACGTTGATGCTTTATAACGGGCGATCAAAAATGAGTGGTGGTCGAGTCGCCTTTGGAAGTTCCAAAAATTGACCAACAGTACGATAAGAAGATGGTACCCAGCAATTTTAAATAAGGCAGTACGCCGAGGACGTGCTAAAAAGGGCATCCTACCTAACCACCAAAGAGGGACACTCATTTACAATCATATTAAAGTTTAACAATTACGAAAAAAGGCCAAATTGGCACGCCGCAAAAGCACATGCCATTTTATTGGTTCTATGCTGACAATATAATTATCGTCCAGTAAATTTCCTGCAGTCCATCAGTGGCTTTTTACACGATCCTGACTATAGTGACTTAAAAGAATCCGGGAAACACCACCTCAAAACTTTCGAAACTTGTGGAAGGTTAAAGATATAATATAATCGGCCTGGCGAGGCGATATGAAGAAGGAAACATACCTATGTTCCTGACACAGAAATTTAAATTGGGGCCATTTTCAATCCCAAAGTATGGAACTTCCGGGCCTGCATCTCAAATCACTCCTAATGGGTCTAGAGAACAATTTGTACGAAGTGGCACAATTCTAAATGAAATGCCGAATATCAGCATTTCTCAGGAGCCCCTTCCACTAAATAATAATGCTCGAGTTCCTAAAGAGGAAAAACATGCCAAACCAAAATATAAGTTCTTGGTGAACCTCGCCCTTTGGCCATTACACAAAACATTGTCTTTTTTTGTTTGTATATAATAATCAATGATCATCAAATAAAATCTTGTTTACTATTATTATTATTTCCTTGATATGCTATCACATACCCGAGTGTCCCGAGTGCAGATTCGCTTTTTGTTTTAAAATTTTTTAATGATTTCGTACCTACTGGTACTGCTTTTAAATGGTCAGAATTCACAATACCCATGTTGGCGAGTAGCGGGGGGCTTCAACCCCCGCAACGTTGTGGTTGGAAGGGCTCAAGCAACGCCAAGTACCGTTAACGAGTCATCGGCTACGTATTCGAACGCTCGGTGAATCCTCGACACAACAAAGCAACATCGGCAACAGCAAGTCAATCACTGTACTTTACGGCAAGCGGTCAGCAGTGGTAGTACATAGTATATTGGTGTATGAAAATTGACATTCTACTGAAGTAGGCGTTCGATTCTATTTTGTTTTTGTAACTTCTTGTTTTCTCTGTGTTTGCTTCCGGCCCTTCGAAGAAATGTCTAACAATCAGGGTAAACATGTCAGATTATTCGTATATTTTTAAAAGTAACGTTTGTTTTGTTTACTCCGCAATAGCGATGCTGAATTTGCGATCCCGACAGCTAAATCCGTGCGACGTCCTCTACTGGAAATGTCGGGGATATCAGGAAAGACCAGATAATTGGGAAGGTAAAAACTTATCATCTGTTTCTATTTGTGTACTTACACAAGTACCTCTCTACTTATTTAATTTTTTTCATATTCATGTCACAAAAAAAGCGCGGTAATCATTGTGTTTGAAATTTGATGGGACTTTTATTACCTTGTGTGGATAACGTATTACCATTGAATTTGATAGTTATAAATTCAATGGTATTACCATTGAATAATTAACCGTCACTTTACTCAACGGTAGTACCTACGAACGTTAAAATATTTTCGAATA